TCTATTGATTCTATTTCACTTATTTAAATGCTTCCAAACTTTCAGTCTTAGGGAGAAAAACAGACTTGTCCTGTAAGGATCCAGAAGGTCTCTCTGTGTTGCCAGGTGACCAGCCAGACTCAAGATTTCTGCTCCCAACTCCGCCTCATCAGGAGAGGTCCAAATTCCCACAAGGCTGGCAGGTGTTAGCAGCTGGCATTTCCTGACAATTTACTGCACACTGACTTTTAAGTTTAGATTGCTTGCATTCTACTGGCAAGGCCACTCTTGCCTTTGCCATTCCACTGGCAAGGCCACTGGCAAGGCCACTCTTGCCTTTGCCCTTTAGAAAAACAAAATTGTAAAAAGGAGAGGTGTTCCTCTCTCTTGGTGCACAGACCCACGTGTTTCTGGCTGTGCCTCGGCTCATGCCTTTCTACAGGTTCCTAGTGGAAGCAGGCACACCTGCCCAGACTCTGATGCCTCTAGTAGGCACCCAAGCCCTCAAGCCAACAAATATATTTATAAATTCATATTTGTAACTTACATAGTTTTTTACCCTTTGCAGAGCTCTTTGGCATGGAAATGGAAAGAACAAGCAAGCAAACAAAAAACAGAAGCTGGACACTCAGAAGGGTAAAGCAAGTTTCCCCAGATCACACAGACAGGATGTAATAACAGACTTAGAACCCTAGTCCAGGGCATATATTTTCCAAGTTGAGAACCTAAAATAAAACAAAAAGGTGCAATGATATAGGTTAATTTTACCCTCAATAGTTTTGGATATGGGGCTGAAAATTGTAGCTCGTGACTATCTGTCAAAGAACTGCAAATTATGAACTGGATATTAAACTAGATCATGTGCCCATGGAAACTGCAGCGTGCAAGATGTAGGTCACCCTTGTAATATGTAAGATGTTACCCCTGTAATACACCTCTGTCAAGCTAGGACAGTCAAGCTAGGGGAGTCCTGGCTTCTAGATCGAATTCTTTCATTTAGTGTACCAGCTTGGGCACGGCCATTTAATCGCTGTTGTTTGTGAAATACAGCACTGTATGATTCAACTAGTAAGGAATTGTATGACACATGTGAAGTACCTAATAACAACAAGTAAAATGGTGTTCATAATTTCTCATTTCATGAATCTGTGCAGCATATAATACTTGTCAAGTCTGTGCAATAGCTAATTTTCAGAGCATGTTACACATGCTGAATCCACTGTTCGTCTCAAAGCATTTTCACACACAACATTAGTACATTCATAAATTATTAAGTTGTTTACCCTTCTAATATTGAATGAACAGTTGTTGATTTAAATATATTTTTATAATTTGATTTCTTGTTTGGCATGAATAAATTAGCAAAGTATTCAAACAAGAAAACCATAGCTCGAGCTTGAAGCCCTGGATATATGACATGAAATTTGAATGCACTTATAAGTATCTGAGCATATTTTACTCTTCTAACAGCCACTGAAGATTTAACTCAAGTAAGTATTCCTTGGTTTAAAAAAAACTAGCCGAGACCCTTATTCAAGGAACTATGCAATTAACTTCATTATTCAGAATTTCCCTAGTTGTTCCTCTCTTTTGCGTGTATTAGCAGCAAGTGTTGTCTGATATTTAACTTATTATGTACATTTTGTTATGATCACTGAAGACTAAAAATTTCATTTTTTTTTTTTTTTTTTTGCGGTACTCGGGCCTCTCACTGTTGTGGCCTCTCCCATTGCGGAGCACAGGCTCCGGACGCGCAGGCCCAGCAGCCATGGCTCGCGGGCCCAGCCGCTCCACGGCATGTGGGATCTTCCCGGACCGGGGCTCGAACCCATGTCCCCTGCATCGGCAGGCGGACTCCCAACCACTGCGCCACCAGGGAAGCCCATAAAAATTTCATTTTTTTAATTTATTTTATTTTTAATTTATTTTATTAATTTATTTTTTTGGCCACGAGGCATGCAGGATCTTAGTTCCCAACAAGGGATCGAACCCGTGCCCCCTGCAGTAGAAGCGCAGAGTCCTAACCACTGGACCAACGGGGAAGTCCCTCATTTTAAAGTTTCAATTATTAAGGTGACTTGTTTATTCCTTGAAAATTAATCTCTTGGTACAGGGCCTTCAATAACCATGTAGTAAATGTTAGCTAATTTAAATTTAATAAATTGGTTGTCAATTATTAGCACACCCTTGGTAATTAAAAAAAACAAAAGGACGCCCTTGGTAATATGAATCCCTTGGAAAAGTTGATGAAACAAAAATGTTAAGTTCAATTGCGTTCATGAAAGTAAAAAGCTGTGATTGTGGTAAGTAGTATCATAAATAAAATATGTAAGTGCAGCAAATATTAAACACTAGGATTCGAGAACTGTGCTACCATGCCATCATTCACAAGTCTGCAAGAACATGTATTCTTTATTAAAGTCAATGGAGTGTACCCATTCATCTTAGCATTATTCATAATCGAAACATTTCAATTTTAGTTAACACACACACAAAACTAATTTAAAAGTCAAATGAGATTAGTTCTACGCTCCCATGTTCCAATTCCATAGTGATATCAACCAGCCAAATTTAGCCTTAGGAGGTATGAAAAAATATCTAATACAATGAATGGAAAACCTTTTAAAGAATCACAGATCTGTTGAAACTAATGTTTTTGCAACCAACTCAACAAAAATATATTTAGTGTTGTAAAAGAGCCCTCAGACAATTCTATTACAAAATGACTGAGCTTATCTATAGATTTACTTCTAGATTTCAAAAGCAGTGAAACAAGAACTAGAGGATTTATGTAAGAAATACAGTTCATTTCCTAAAAAGAACCCAACAACTAAATTGAACAGTGATTGATTGAAAACTATTTTCTGCATACACATTATAAAGACCAGAGGGGATCTTCTCCTGTTTTAAATCTTTATTTCTGCCATACTCTTATTTGCTTTTCCAGTTATTTTTAATAGTTTTTAAAATATTTATTTATTTAATTTTTTCATTTTTGGCTGCACCGGGTCTTTGTTGCTGCGCACGGGCTTTTTCTAGCTGCGGCAAGCGGGGCTACTCTTCACCGTGGCACATGGACTTCTCATTGCAGTGGCTTCTCTTGTTGCGGAGCACGGGCTCTAGGCGCGCGGGCTCAGTCGTTGTGGCACATGGGCTCAGTAGTTGTGGCTCGCAGGCTCTAGAGCGCAGGCACATGGGCTTAGTTGCTCCGCAGCATGCGGGATCTTCCCGGGCCAGGGCTCGAACCCATGTCCCCTGCATTGGCAGGCAGATTCCCAACCACTGTGCCACCAGGGAAGCCCTGCTTTTCCAGTTGTCATCATTCTTTTGGTGTCTCTCTTTTTTCCATTTTTTGGTTTATTTCTTTATCAATCTCCACTGTGCATGTCACCAAGGACTGTTTCCTTCATCCCTTACTTGTTTATCTCTACATCAAGCCTTTTGTCTCCAATCTATGAAGCTAATTGTTACTGAATATTTATTCCCATCTGAGCTTCTCCCCCAAACCTAGGTTTTATTTATTGTCGTTTTCAGCTATCCAACTTGACCCTCAAGCTCAATAACAACAAAAGAGGTATTAAAATTCCTTACTTTCCTGCTAAAACACTTTTGTAACTGTTACACTCTGGCTCTTTGGCAAGCTCACCATCCTGGTACAGTCATCCCTCAGTACCTGAGGGGGGATTGGTTCCAGGGACACCAAAATCCGAGGATGCTCAAGTCTGTTATATAAAAAGGCATAGTACAGTCGACCTTCCACATCTGTCCCAAGTTTGGTCAGTCTGACACCTTTCTTTCTAAGGGTTCCGGTCTCCTCAGTGTGAGGGAACATTACCTTTTATTTTTCCAAGTTTCAGCAATCACCAGAGAAGGAGTTGTGTGTTTGCCTGTGCAGGCACTGTGCACCCTTGGGAGAGGGTGAGGGGAATGCTTATCTGAGAAGAGGAGAGGGTAACGCTGCCTGACTGGTGTTGGGCACAGAGGCAGGGAGAGGATGCTGGTCTTGACCCTACACCCAGCTCATTCATCTGCCTGCCCAGAGCCGTGCTGGTAGCTTCCAGCCACAGCCCTGCCTCTCTAGAAGACTCTGTGGGGAAGGATACATGTTGGCATATTTTGGCTATACTTCCTAGAGGCTGGAAATAACTTCAAAGCACAGAGAGAGTCCCATAGGGGCTCCGATACCCCATAGCAAACCTGACAATTGATAGAGGCCTCTGCACAAGAATCCTTGGCTTCGTCTTCCTTCCCTTTACCACTCTGAGCAATTTACATGAATTCTTTGAAACTCTTTTTAGTGGAATTTCCTGCTTCCAGTTTCTCTCTGTTCAGTCCACATTTCCTGCTCGAGAATGATCTATAACTGGTGGGTGCACGTGAGATGCGCTGTCCCTCATATGGTCTCATCCTAACTTCTGGACCTTATTTCAAGACTTTGCCTCAACCTAGTACTGGGACGGCTGGCCTTCTCGCCACTTGTTCACTGTGTCTGTGGCCCTGACGTGGGTTCTAAATCCAGACCCCCTAGGTCAGCATGCCCCTCTCTGCTCCACGTGTCCATAGATCTCTTGTCTTGAGAATTCTGGTGTTCAATGAACACCAGCGAGCGACTTGTTCATCCCAGGCCACATGTCATCAGTCACTGCTTATATATATAAGCTACTCTTCAGGGACTCTAAACAAAAGTAGCATTAATTAATATCCCTTGTTCTATCTATGAACACCCCGTGCTCACTTTGTGATGAATGTGGGCTCTGCATATAAGGTAGGACAGTCTTCATCAACTTAACTCCTAATGACGGTCAGTGAGGCCCTTCGATGACCTTGCTGCCACCTTACCCTGTCTCTCTCCTCTGCTCACTGCCCCCTACCCTCACCTGGATCACACGGCTCTTACCTGCCTAAGGCTGTCACCTGTGCTGCTTCTCTTGCAAGACTGCTGTTCCCCCACTTGGCTGGGTCCCCGTCAACCCAAGTCTCTGGTTATTTGTCACCTGCTCAGGCAGGCCTTCCTACATGACGTCCTCCCTGTTACTGTCGTTCTTGATGCCCTGTAATATCCTGCAGGGCATCTAACAGAAACTAAAGAGTACCTTTGTTTACTTGGCTAACTCTCCTCATTTAGATGGGAAGCCCCTAGAGGTGGGAACCTGGTCTGTTTCTTCACCATAGCACATAGTATGGATCAATATATATTAATCACCACCACAGCACATAGTATGGGTCAATATATATTAATCCAAGGAATAAATATTATCAGAGCTTTCCTTAGCTCTAGATAATGTTAGAGCATCACCTTAGTAAAGGTGTTGAGAATAATATATTCATATATTGCACATATATTTAAGATGTTACAAATTTGGTATATTTTAATCAATGCATGCAACAAATGATATTTTTAGGAAAGTCTGATAATTTGCAATCATACTCTTACTGCAGAGATGAGGATAAAGAAGAGAAATAGCCTGGTTGGGCTCCCTAGAGCTGAAGTCATTGCTCAAGGACTGTGAATAATGCTATAAAATCACTTGTACTATAAAGATCATTATCTAAAGTCATTATCATACACAGGACATTCAAACCTCACACTGAGCTTTCTTTCCTCATACTTCAATCCTGACAATTCTCAAAACACCCAGACTTACTATTTCTCAGAGAAAAGGAGGATAAACCAAGGAGACACTTGAAAATTAACAAATAATCACAAATTTATAAAAGTGCAGAGAGAGCCCTGTGTTTCAGTCATTAGAAACACGCCTCCTTATCTGCCTGCAAACTGTCCTTATTATTATTCTCAATTTTAAAAGTTGCTATCACTACTTTTTTGAGTAATAGCAGAATATTTTCACAACCTCAGGGTAAGCAAAGATTTCTTAGGACACTAAAAAGCATTAACCATGAAGGAGAAAAGTAATTTATTGTTCTTTATCAAATTAAAAAATTTCAACTCATCAAAAGGCACTTTAAATAAAGTGAACGGACAAATCTCAAACTGGGAAAATATTTACCATACGTGTATCTGACAAAGGACTTCTCAGAATATAGGAAGAACTCCTACCATCAGCAGTAGACAAGTGATCTGGTCAAACTGAGAAAAAACTTGAATAGACGTCTCACCAAGGAAGATATACAAATGGGCAATAGTGCATAAAAAGATGGTGCAGGGGCTTCCCTGGTGGCGCAGTGGTTGAGAGTCCGCCTGCCGGTGCAGGGGACGTGGGTTCGTGCCCCGGTCCGGGAAGATCCCACATGCCGCGGAGCAACTAAGCCCGTGAGCCATGGCCGCGGAGCCTGTGCTCCGCAACGGGAGAGACCACAACAGTGAGAGGCCCGCGTACCGCAAAAAAACAAAAAGATGGTGCAGATTAATAGCCATCAGAGATCTGCAAATGCAAGCCATGAGAGATACCATCTCCTACCCACTGTTGGTGAGGGTAAGGAGCAGCTGGAACTTTGAACATTGCTGGTGAAGTGTGGGGCAGTTTCTTACAAAGCTAAACATTTACCTTATGATCTAGCAATCCCATTTCTTGGTCTGTATCCAATGGGAATGAAACAAGTTATTCACAGACTTGTACAGGAATTTTCAGAGCAGTCTTTTTCACAAGAGTCCCAAACTAGAAACAACTCAAATGTCAAAAATAGGATAAATAACTTGTAGTTTAGTCATACAATGGAATATTACTCAACAATAAAAAAAGGAATGAACTACGGATACATGCAACAATCTCAAAAATACCAAGGTAAGTGAATGGAGCATTTACAATGTTTATGCTGTGTAATTCCATTCATTTGAAGACCAAGAATAGACTGAACTAACCTATGGTGATAGAAATAAGAAAGTTGTTGCTTGGGCAGTAGAGAGGAGGTGAGGGGGTAGGAGGGAAATGGTGGGCTCTTGAACTGGAATTGACTGGAAAGGGCCATGAGAGAAATATTTAGGGTATGAGATTCAGTGTCGTATTTTGCGTGGCCATTATACAGGGCATATACAATTGTCAAAACTCATTGGATCAAACAATGTTTGGATTGAGTCAAAACTCATTGGATCAAACAAACAAATATCTGTGCGTTTTATTGCATATAAATTGCACATTAATTAAAAAATTAAAACATTCTATTATTTAAAAAAACCTTAACACTAAAAATCATTCGGAATATTTCTCTACTTTCTAGGGAAGCATTTTTAAAAATTCTTGTACTGAATTCTACATGCCTCGTTTGCAATATATGATGAGTACAGTAATTTATCCAGTTTCACTAGATTAAGCCTCAATTTACTGTGAAGTTCAACACCGTAAAGATAAAGAAGTACCAAAAAAGGAAAAAAAAAACAAACAAACTCACCCCCCAAAACAAACAAAAAAACCCCTGCTCTGAATCAGGATTAAGTTTTCAAAGATGAATGTCATTGCTGCAGTATACCAGCAAGGGGAGCACTTACACTTTGAGAAGAATTTCATCCTCATCACGACTGAATTATTCTATAGGCACTTTAACGAGACCAAAAATTGACTTTTGGGTGTAGCCACGATGGAAATGACAGATCATTTTAATGCAAGAGAAAAAGATTGGAAACCTTGACCCTCTAGATTATTTTGCACCTCAGTGAGAAGGGAAAAAACAGATCAGCTTATTAAAAGAATATGTTCACGTAATTCAGATACCTGGAAAACAAAAGAACAGCTAAATTAACTGTGGGATGCCACTTTTGCTTGGTTAATTATTCCCATATGAGAATAATAATGTACATACATCCCCTTCTCCCACAAAAAGAAGACCTCAACAACTCCACTATTTTGATGGATGCAGGAATAACAGCATCTGTTTGTACAGAATTTGCAAGCTGTTTGAATACTGGAGTCTGTCTGAGTGTAGGTAAGACTGGCAAATGGTAATTTTTTAAAATCTTGAAGCATAAGGGCTTTTCAGTGGAGATGGTTAGCCTGCGAATCTGAAGGTTTGTGTTGCATTTTTTATATATATCATCAGTTCATCAATTCTTGTAAGATTTGTAAGGCTTAATTCTCACATAAACTCAGGAAGGCTGTAGAAAAATCTCTAACTATCCCTTCCTGCCAGGTTCGGTAATCCTGGATTTACAGAAAAGAATGTTCTGGCTAACAATGGCAAGCATGTCCCCAGGCACATGCAAATGCAGGGCTCCCAGTAGGGACACTTAGAGTATGGGTAACTGCCCCCTTTACACGCTAACCTTGTAATAACCCTGACCTTAATTCTAACACCATAGCACCTTTTCAATTCTCCTCATTCCCCAGAGAAGCAGAGCACAGAGAAACCAGCATTGTGTGCCCTGGAAAATGCCCTGAGCCATGCCCAGCGGGGGGTGGG